TCGGGTCCTTGCCTCTCTCGTTACCCCGTCTGTTCCGGTCTCGTGTCTTGACGCTCTTGTCGCTGCGGTCGTTAAATTTGCCTCTACCCGCCGCCTTGACTACGCCACCGCTCTGGTCTCAGACCCTGCCTGTCCTCCGTCTGTCGGGGGTGCTCCTGCCCTTGGCAGTGACGTCTGGAGGACCGCCAGTACGAGCTTGCTTTCCTGTCCGAGGCTGCTCCCCATCTCTATTCCATGCTGCTAGTCCCTGAGGGTGACCCAGACGCTTTCGACATCCCGACCCCTCGCACTTACGCTGAGGCGTCTCGGGACCTTGGGCCTCTCAGTGGATAGCTGCCATGGAGCAGGAGATGGCATCTTGGAGATCCACCGGCACCTACGTCGACGCAGTTCCCCCACCTGGGGTGAACGTATCGATGGCCGCTGGCTCTTCAAGGTGAAGCGCCCTCCTGGAGAGCCGCCTGTGTTCAAGGCGCGCTACGTGGCTAGAGGCTTCAGTCAGTGAGGGGGTGGACTTCTTTCAGACTTTCGCTCCGACCCGAAGATGACTACTCTTCGGGTGCTACTGCACGTAGCAGCTCAGCGTGACTACGAGCTTCACTCCCTCGACTTCTCACTGCGTTTCTTCAGGCAGTCTACACGAGCAGGTCTACCTGCGCCGCCCTCAGGGTTTCACTGGTACCTTCCCCTGGGACCCTGGCTCCTGCGGCGCCCCGTCTACGGCCTACGGCAGGCTCCCCATGAGTGGCACGACACGCTGCGTGCTACCCTTGCTGACCTGCAGTTCTTTCCGTCCTCTGCAGACCCCTCGCTCTTCGTTCGTGCTGGCCAGACTCCGTTCTACATCCTTGTTTACGTAGACGACCTGGTCTTCGCCACTGCAACAGGGACGCACTGGCCTCGTGAAGGCAGAGCTGCTGAAGAGACACACCTGCACTGACCTTGGAGAGCTGCGCCGTTACCTTGGCTTGCAGATCTCCAGGGACAGAGCAGCGCGCACCATCACCCTCTCTCAGTCACACTTGGTGCGCCAGGTCCTTCAGAGGTTCGGCCTTCAGTTCTCCTCTGCACAGCCCACCCTCTGCCTGTAGACCACAAGCTCTCTGCTCCAGTCTTGAGGAGTCAGTAGAGCCCACGATACTTATGCAGAGCTGTGGGTTGCCTCATGTACCTGATGACTTGCACTCGCCCAGATCTCGCATACCCTCCTAGCATCTTGGCTCGCTTTGTGGCCACATGCAGACACCGACCTCAGCACTAGTCTGCTGCTAAGAGGGTTTTGCGCTATCTTGCAAGTACATCAGGCATGGGGTTAGTGCTAGGAGGGCGCAGGCCAGTGGTCCTTGCTGGGCACACAGATGCTTCGTGGGCAGACGACGCCGAGACCCTTAGGTCCTCGCAGGTCAACTGCTTTAGCCTTGGTTCAGGTGCTGTCTCGTGGAGAGCTATTCGCTCCTCGTCTGTTGCCCAGTCCAGTTGTGAGGCTGAGATCTACGCCGGTGCCATGGCGGCACAGGAGCTCCGCTGGCTGACCTTCTTGCTCACCGACTTAGGTGAGTGGGCCTAGCTCTGCCCCAGTCCTGTACGCTGACAACAGGGCCATGATCCTCCTGTGTCAGGAGCCTCGACTTGGAGGCAGAGCGAAGCACATCCCAGCCGCGGGTACTTCCTCCTGCGCGAGCTACCAGCAGCGTCGCCAGGCCTGCGTAGTACCACTTGGCCTCCGGTGCCAACACAGCTGATATCTTTACGAAGGCACTTGCGCCTAAAGATCATCAGCGGCATTGTGTACAGCTAGGTCTTGTTCCTGTTGCCTCTTCACCTGCTAGGGCCTTGATTGTGTATAGACCTATATATATATATGTTTTACCCTGACTGGCCTTGTGGCCCTTCCCCGTGGTTGGACTAGTAGTGCCTCCCTGGTCTTGTTCTTGTTGTGTCTGTACTCCTTTGACTAGTCTTTTGGACCCTTGTTTCAGAGGCTAGACTAGTAGTGTCTTGTTAGGCACTACCTCTATATCGTCTAGGGGGTGTGTCAAACATATCAAAATATGTTAGTATAGACAATATTGGTTTGTACTGTAGAGGGTACAACACTCTAGGCTATATTTCCCTGTACTCTCTCTTTCTAGTCATTATTCAGTTCTAAGAAGGTGAACCACATGCATTGGCCACTTAAGTTGGCAAAGGAGAAGTGAAAATGCGGGGACAAATCACCTAGGGCTTTGCTCTAGGTGTCAACCGTACACTTATCACAATCACAGCCATGGCCCTCAGCGAATGTAAAAAAGCCATGATGGAAGAGCACATTGATCTCATTGCCTCTTAGTATTACTTGCATTGTAGGCTACTTACACTTGAAAAAGGAACCTCAGGTCCTCTGTCGTGAGCCGTGATTTATTCATCATTGTAGCTGACTCGCCATATGCACTCTCGATCATGTTACGCTTGCGCTCCTGTTGTAGCAGCGAGGTGAAGTGGAGGGCGCCAAAAAATGGGGTGGGAGTGGGGGACATATGAGCTGAGGGCATAAAAGGAAGTTGTCATACACAAAGTGGATATGGATGTAGCACCAGCATTTGTTAAACACAAGTGCCAACTCCAAAGCCAAAAAGGCCAAGACTTTGTAGCAAGTTTTGACTGAGTGCCATTACATTCCTCACCTCACCTGACACAACCATCCCACCCACCTGCAGGCTGCAGCTCCTAAACTCCGTCCCCGATGGTGTCCGCAACAGTGAATCACGCCACGCGCACATGGCAATACTACTGGCCACCCACCATGTACTTCCACCCACCTGCAGCTCCAGGATGCGGTCCTCAATGGTGTCCGCCACGGTGAACCGGGCCACTCTCACGGGGCGTGTCTGGCCGATGCGGTGGGCGCGGTCGATGGCCTGATCTTCCACGGCGGGGTTCCACCACAGGTCCATCAGCACCACGTGGCACGCCGCTATCAGGTTCAGCCCCAGGCTGGCTGCCTTCAGAGAGACGAGGATCACCGTGATCTGCATGGGGTGCAGCGGGAGGAAAGGAGGGAGTTTGGGACTGTTAGGCTGGCAGCTAAAATTGACTTGTGTGATGAAGCAAGCGAGCAACAGCCTTGTCTACAGCAGCCGCTCGCACGGTCTCGTCTCATCCGGGCCAGAATTCCCTAAACAAGCCTCGGACGGCCACTGACCTCGGGGTCAGTGGTGAATGCAGCGATGGCCTTGTCCCTGGCAGCGACGGACATGGTGCCATCGAGGCGCACGTAGGAGATGCCAGCAGCGCCCAGGTGCATCTCCAGGAGGTCCAGCATGCGCGTCCACTGCGAGAACACGATCGCCTTCTCCCGCACCATGGTCCATTGAATCACAGAGCTTTCCACAGGGTTAGTCAATGCAGCAGCAGGAGGTGGAGGAGCGGGAAGGGCGAGAAGAGGGCGTTGAAGGGCAGCAGCAGGAGAAGGCACAGCAGGGGGTGCAGGGGCAGCCGGGGGTGCAGGTGCAGCGGGGGGTGCAGGAACAACGGCAGGGCCTGGGGGAGGGTACAGAGGCGGTGGTGGAGGAGGAAGAATGGGCTTGCTGTCAGTGCAGGACAGCTTCAAATCTGGGATATGGGGAGCACCAGAAGCATGAGAAGCATGAGAGGCATGAGAAGCTGGTGGCTCGTTTTGCAGTATCGATGTCACAGTACGTAGAGCAGATGCAAGCGCACCAGGTGAAACATGGCAAGCCCCAGCCTGCCCCGCCTCCTCCTGGTCACCTCTGATCCAATCCATACCCACGCCAGTCCTTGCACCACCTCCCTCCCTCGTCTCCTCTTTGCATCTCCCCCCGCCAGCAGCATCAGGTGCTGAGCTACGTGCACCAGGTGCAACTCCAGGTGTGGAAACAGATGCAACAGGTGCTGACTCAGGTGGTAGGTCGGATGCAAGCCCACCTGATGGACAACACGCCCCTCCGGCCCGCGCATTCCCATGCTCATTCACTTCCATTTTGACCCCTTCAGTATCAACCGATTCCGGTTTCACCATACTTGCTGCTGCTGCTGCACTTAAAGGCATCTCCTTTGTGTCGTCTGCTGCTGCCTCTTCCTCTACTTTTGCCTTTACTTTCGCCTCTGCATCTGCCGTTGCAATTGCGTCTGCCTCTTCCTCCAGCACGGCATTTGCAGCTATCTCTGCCCAGTCCGGCCACTGCTGCTGAGGAGGCTGTTGAGGCTGCTGCTGCTGCTCTTCCTGCTGCTCTTGTTGTTGCCATTGCTGTTGCTGAACGCTGTTGTTCCCGTCCCCCTGTGGCATCAACCCAGCATCACGTGATTCCTCCTTCACCTCAGGCATGCCTACACTCTCTCTTACCACGCTGTGCCTCACACCACCCATGCCCACACCGATGTTGGCACCACCTGCTTCCTCCTTCACCCTCCCATGCTTGCACTCTCTCGTACATTCCTTGCGCCCGCGCCATGTCTCACACCACGCATGGCCACACCACCAACGCCGTCTCTCAGACCCTCACACCCAGTGGTGCTCTCTCCTAAACCCCCTACACCGGCACTACCTCCCGGGCCCCTTTGCTCCTCGTCCTTCGCCATCCCCCCGTTTGCCACAGAGGGAGGGGTGGAGGTGGAAGGATGAGAAGTGGGAGCGCCGGCGATAGGAGAAGGGCCGCGGACGTTGCACGCACTTGAACTGGGTGGAAGGATGGAGGGGAGTGATGAAGGGAGAGAGGAGGGAAGGGAGGAGGGGAGGGAGGAGGGGAGGGATGAAGGGAGAGATGGGGCGGGGGAAGAGGTGGGATGAGAAGCAGCTGAAGCACGGCCGGCAGGAGCAGGAGGAGAAGCAGCAGGCATGAGAGGGAGGGCGAGGAGGTAGTCCAGCACAGCACGGGTCTTGGTGGACATGCGAGACGGGGAGAAGAACACCGGGCCCTCCTCCTCCTGCCCTCCCCTTCCTCCTGCTGCAGCAGCTGCTATTGCTGATGATGATGATGGCACCGCTAACGTGCCGGCCTCCCTTCCCCTCCCCGACCCAAACCCTGTTCCAATCACCATCCCCACCGGACCCCCCTCCCCCTGGGCGCTTTCAATCTCAGAGAAGAGGTAGAGGGAGGAGGCTGACAGGGCCTTGGAGCAGCAGGGGCAGACCGGGGAGCCGTCGGACTGAGCCAGGTGCTGCAGGGCGCACTGCTCGCAGAAGGTGTGCAGGCACGCCGAGAGCACCGGCACCTCCGCTGCGTCCGCGCAGAGCTCACACACCGCCTCGCCCCCCACCCCTGCCACGTGCCGCACCAACTCCGCTCTCCTCCCCGCCGACAACCGCCCCACCGACCCCGCGAACACACTCCGTCTCCCACTTCCCCCACCCGCTCCTCCTCCTCCTCCTACCCCGGTCCTCCCTCGCCCCCCGCATCCTCCCCTGCTGCAGCCACTCCCCTCGTCCTCGGGCCTGTCTCGGGCAATGGGGATGCCTCTGGCGAGCGCGGGGTGGTTGCAGGCCTGGCGCAGACGCAGCAGCATGGTGAGGATGTGCATGTAGTTGCTCTGCACCGTCCCTGCTGCCGCATAGTCCTGGTGGGAGGGAGGGGGGATCAAAGGGGAGGAGCAAGGAAAAGAGAGAGGGCAAGTGTAAAGGAGGAGGAGAGGAAGCAGGCGCAGCAGCATGGAGAGGATGTGCCAGTAGTTGCTCTTGACTGTGTCCGCTGCGGTGTGGTCCTGGTGGGAGGGAGGAATGGAGCATCCAGTGGGATCAGATGTGAGCGGGCATGGAGGAGGGGGGAGGGGGGAGAGGGATGGGAAGAGGGGACTACAGCAGCATGGTGGGGATGTGCAAGCACTTGCTCTGGACTGTGCCCGCTGCAGCATGGTCCTGGTGGGATTGGAGGGCAGCGAGATGGGAAGCAGAGGAAAAGGGATAGCGCAGGGGTAAAGGAGGAGGAGAGGAAGCAGGCGCAGCAGCATGGTGAGGATGCGCATGTAGTTGCTCTGCACCGTCCCTGCTGCCGCATAGTCCTGGTGGGAGGGAGGGGAGAGAGGAGAAAGGAACAGAGAGGAAGCAGAGAGGGAATGAGGATGGGCATGTAGTTGCTCTGGAGTCTGGACCGTGCCCGCTGCTGCATTGTCCTCGTTTTAGAGAGGAGCAAGGACAGGAGAAGTGAGAGGAAGCAGCACGGAAAGCATGTACAGGCAGCTGCTTGCAAGATTGGATTTTACACGCAAAGAACACTGGATTTGATTGACTCAAGGCTGTAACAGCCCAGGTTTCGCTTCCACGGTGCAGGTAGGTACAATGACTTTTGAGTCGACTCAAAAGTCATCCAGGTACAATGCATCAAGCCACTCACATGGAACTGCTGCTGGTTACAATGCTTCAAGGGAGAAGTAGAAGGCTAGGAAATATTTACAGGATCAGAAGCGTTCCTCCCGGGTGACCTCCACTGCCTGCAGTCTGCAGAGGAGTCTATTTTTGAGGAGCCTCAAAAATATTTACAGGAGTCTATTTTTGAGGAGCCTCAAAAATATTTACAGGAGTCTATTTTTGAGGCGCCTCAAAAATATTTACAGGACCAGAAGCGTTCCTCCGGGGTGAACTCCACTGCCTGCAGAGCAAGCAGTCAGGCAGGCCATTTTTCTCAACAACGTTGACTGAGCCCACTCACATGGAACTGCTGCTTGGAGGACGCCTCGAGGGAGAGGTAGAAGGAGCGTTCCTCCGGGGTGAACTCGGCTCGCTGCAGCGCCACTAGGCGCGGCGGCAGGTTCACTATAGGCGCTCCCTTTATGCGCGTGGCTGATGGAGATGCACAGAGCAGAGAAGCAGGGGGCGTGGAATGATATAAACAAACTATAGTAATATGTCGTGTGGTAGGTCGCCCTACAGTTTTAAAACATTAATTATAGCAAGATAATTATGAAACTTTGAGATACAAGCATAATAGTTTGTACTAAACTGTGATTGTACACATTAGCATACATACATATATACTCAATACACACTAACTAAGGCAGTTGAGCAACATGAACAAAAATATGAATGGATAGGCAAGGGCTCACCTTTGGTGCGGCGCAGCATGATGGCGAGCAGCACGGCCTGCAGCCTCTTGAAGCCTTGCGAGGGGTTGCGAGTGATGGGGTCCTTGATGGTGGTGCGGAAGTGCGCGTACTCGTCGTAGGGGGCGAAGCGCAGGAAGCGCAGGTACGGGTACACGTCGTCCACCGCATTCTGCATCGGCGTGCCCGACAGGCACCACCGCCGCTTCGCCCTTAAAGCCCAGCACGCCCTCGCCACCTGGGGGATTGATGGGAGGGTGTGAATTGAGAAGACCCTGCAAGCCATGGCCAGACACGCACTAGAGCCTTTTACTCCTCACTGCCCAGTATGCTCTAGAGACCTGAGTACATGAGAGGTGGGGGGGGAAGGGGGGGGGGGGGGGATGACATATAGAATGTATGTGGATCATGTTTGCTCAGGCCATCTCATGGCACTCCATGAGGATGAGTTCATTGATCCACCCAGACAGACAGAGGGCATCTCTCACCATGTGATAATTGATCCACCCACCCACCCACCCACCCACCCACCTGCGTGTTCCTGTTCTTGATGGCCTGGGCCTCGTCCAGCACCACTCTCAACCACGCCACACCAGCCAGCGGACCCTGGATCCCACCACTCCCCCCTCCCCCTCCACCCCCACCACCTCCCGCCTTCCTCTTCCCTCCTGCCCCACCCCCAGCGATCCCCATCACCTCCTCCCACGACGGCTCCTTTACCTTCTCCCCTTTGCCCTTGCCACCCTCCCCTCCCCGGCCCACGTCCATGCCAACGATGGCATACGTGGTCAGCACCACGTCGTACGACGCCACCTCCGCTGCACTCCTCGTGCGCCCCGACCCGTGGTACACCAGCACTGACAGCCCCCTTCTTCCCCCTCCTCCTCCCCCTCCTCCTCCCCTCCTCCTCCCCCTCCTCCTACCCCGCCTCCTCCTCTCTCCACACCTTCGTCAGTTCCCCAACCCCTGCCTCCCTCCCCCAAATCGCCCACCCTCTCCCTGATCTCTCGCTCCCACTGCCGCAGAATGCTGGTCGGACACACCACCAGCGTGCCGCCGCTCACCCGCCTGCCCCTGCCGCCACCACCCGCGCTGCCCGCTGCTGACGTGGCAGCAGCCGATGCTGCAGCTGCTGACGCGGCAGCCGCTGACGTGGCTGCGGCTGACACCCCAGGGGCTGCAGGCATGCCTCTGCTGCTGTTGCCTACTCCCAGTGGTATTGACGCCGCTTGCTGCCGTTTCTTCTCGCCTCTTCTCCCCCTCACCCTCTCCCTCTCCTCCTCCTCATCCTCCAAATCAACCACTTCCGTCTTGTTGCCCTTCCCCATTCCTCCTCCTCCTGCTGCTGCTGCAGCAGCATTACCAACACCAGCAGCAGCACTTGCACCAGCGCCATCTGTACCAGCATCGGTCAGCAGCAGCATCCGCCCCTCTTCCTCACAAAACCCCTTGCCCTTCTCCCTCTCCTTCCTCTCCTTCTCCCTCTGCTCCCACACCCCCAGCACGATAAGAGAGATTGTAGTGAGCGTCTTCCCGAGCCCCTGGTCGTCCGCCAGGATGCCCCCTGCAGGGAGCGCCGCCTCGCGCCGCCGCATCCACGCCACGGCCATGCGCTGGTGCGCCAGCAGCGCCACCGTCAGCGCCCCAGCCGGGATCTCCGCCTCTTCTGCTGTACCCGAGATGGAGAGGCCTTCCAGGATCTGGCGCATGGCGGCTTGGTGGTCGGAGGGGGGCCTGGATGGGTCCGAGGGGGGCCTGAATGGGTCTGGGGGTGCGGGTTGATGGGGGTGCTGGTGCAGGTGGGAATCGTTGTAGTGGTGACTGTGATGGTGGTGGTGGGAGAGATGAGGAGGAGGAAGATGGGAGGACGAAGATGCAAGCGGGGGATAGTTGTGACCAGGTGGGATGTGGTTCTGTGCGGTTCCCGCATCTACTCGCATCCTCTTGGCTGCTTGCTCCCCTTCCCTGCTCCCGTCCGTGTGGGCCCCATGCCCCTCACTGCTCGAGCCTCTGATGCTTGCTGGCAGCTGCCTATATGCCGGAAGCGATACCACCTCCGGTAGCACATGCGCTGCATGTGGTGTGTGTGCTTGCTGTGCTACATGAGGCGGTTGTGGCAGCCGCTGCACCAGCCCCTGCTCGCGGATACTTCTGAAGTGCTTCAGCACATGGGCCGCGCTCCTCCTCCTCGCCTCCACATGCTCTCGCCTCGCTGCCTCCCGATCCACCCCTCTCCCCCCTCCCACTCCTCCCCCCACCCCTCCTCTTCCCCCCATCCCAGCCCCAAACCACTGCTGGGCACTGCCACCCTCTCTTTCTCTCCCCCTTCTCACTTCCTCCTCATCCTCGTCCTCTTCGTCGCCGTCCTCGTCTCGAATCATTACTCTCTCTCCGAACCTCCCTCGCACCTCCTGCTCTAGCTGCAGCTGCTCCCTCGCCTCCTGCAGCTGCTGCTGCTGCTGCTGCCAACGCCAAGCCTGCTGCTGCTGCTGCTGCTGGGCCTTCTGCTGCGGCGGCTCATAGGCCGCCTTCCACTTCCCCAGCTGCCTCCACTCCTGACTCACCTCATCATCCAACTCATCCCCACTCCCCTCACTCACCACACTAACCACACTCCTCTCACTCCCCTGACTCCCCGCCTCCCCCTCTCCCCCCTCAGTTCCCTCTGCAGCCGTCCCTTCCCTCTCCGCACCTCTCCGCTCCCTTGCCTCCCGCCTCCCACTGCCAGCGCCCGTCCCTGACCCTAAACCTACCCCTACGCCGCTTCCCATTCCTCCTGTCATCCCCTCGGCCATGCCGGTCACTGCGCCGCCCACCGCGCCTCCCATCGTGCCGCCCGGCATGCCGCCCCCCATGCTCCTCATCATCTGGCGCTGCGCATTCCTGAGCCTCGCCTGCAGCATGGCCTGCTGCACCTCCTGCCCGCTCAGCTCCACCACATCCTCGTCCTCGTTACTGCCTGCTCTGTTACCAGTATACCCCCCCCTGCTGCTGCTCGTGTTGCGGTTCTTCTCGTTGGCGTTCCTCCTGCCGCCACCCACCTGGTCCTGCTGCTGCCGCCCTTGCTGCTGCTGCTGCTGCTGCTGCTGCTGCTGCCGATGCTGCTGCTGCCACAAAAGGTGCTGCAGCTGCTGCTCTGCGAATTCCTTATCACTGTCGTCATCATCATCATCATCATCATCTTCATCATCGTCATCGTCGCTCAAGCACACCACCTCCATCTGCCGCGGTGCTGCTGACGCACTCCTGCCTGCCGAACTTGGACCACCAGCAGCAGCAGCTACCGTGTTACCAGCAGCAGCACCTGCTGTATTGGAAGCAGCTGTGGTAGCGGCAGCAGGGGGGCCGTTGGTGCCAGTAGGAGCTAGATGAGGGCCCGTGGGAGCAGCAGTAGCAGCATGGGCTGTAGCTGCTGCAGCAGGAAGGTGTGCCGTTGTGGTGCCAACAGCAAGAGGAGCAGCACTGCCATCATCAGTGGGGATGGCACTGCTGGCGGCAGTGACAGCAGCGGGGCGAGCATCAGCCGCATCAGCGGCAGTAGCAGCAGCAGCAGCAGCAGCAGCAGCAGCAGCAGGCGTGTTGGTGGCATCACCCGCAGTCTCAACGGCATCGACACTCATTGCAGCAGCATCGGCAGCAGCAGCAGCATCAGCAACATCAGCAGCATCGGCATCGACACGCATTGCAGCACCCTCATTATAGTCATCTATTCCTAAACAGCCATCCATCCCCACACCACCATCCACCCCCACACCACCATCCACCCCCATGCCACCATCCACCCCCATGCCTGTACCGCTCACATCATTTTCCGAACCCACCCCATACCCATGCATGTGTTGCTCCTCCTTTTCCTCGTCCTCCTCATCTCCCTCCTCACTCTCACTTTCACTACTCTCACTTTCCCGCTCGCTCTGACTCCCCTTCTCGCTCTCACCATCGTTCTCCCTCCCCGCCCTCCCTGCAGCGCTACCAGCGTCTGCTGCACCCATAGCGTCTGCACCCATGGCGTCTGCAGCACCCATGGCATCTGCAGCACCCATGGCATCTGCAGTACCCATGGCATCTGCAGCACCCATGGCGTCTGCAGCACCCATGGCACCTGCAGCACCCATAGCGGCAGATATCCCTTCAAGGGCATGGTCAGACAACCCCATGTCCACAGTGTCAGGTAACCCTAATGTAACATGGTTAGGTAACCCTATCTTAGCATGGTCAAATAACCCTCCATCCATACCACCTATTTCAGGCCCAGCCATATCACTGAGCCTTCTTCCATCACCGTTGATTCGACCTGTCGTCTCACCATCGACGGTTGCGATGTCCTTAAAAGGGCCATTCATTCCATCATCAACCCCGCCCTGGATACCACCCTGCTCCTTGTATTCAGGACGAGAGTTGTCGACAAGAAAATCGGCATTCCCGTTAGAAAAGGCTCCGTTATTGCGACCTCCGTCCTCCTGGTTCATACACTCTCCTGCGCTATTTATCTGCCCCTCTACCGCGCCGGCTTCTTGTACTGGCGATCCCTGCGAGACGCCATCCAACACGAATGACGTGCCACGCGATGCTGCGGTCGACACGTGATGTGCTGACGTGGAGGGCATGGTCATGCTAGAGCACGCGACAGTGCATGAGGTAGGAGGAAGACTAACGCATCTGCTTCACGGTAAAGCGACGTAATTCTTGTTTTGGAAAGAAGCTACCGGTCCTGTCCGATGCTACGCTGAACACGTCACTCGAGCAACGGTACGAGGAAAGAGGGAGAGGGGCAGAGAGAAGAGAAAAGGTGGATAAACTAGTATTATGTTTAATAATTACTTATTTATCAGTTATACGTGGTCCCATGGTGTAGTGGTCATCACGTTTGCTTTACACGCAAAAGGTCACGAGTTCGAAACTCGTTGGGGCCAGCTATTTTGGGTTATTACTCGAGCATCGTACGGCTAGTTTTTGCGTCGTCCCTGCCTCTCAAGTATCCCCTTTCATTTTTCTTTCGTCGCGCTTGTTGAATCTCCTGAGTCTGCTGCTTACGTTCATAAACTACGCGCTCATTCCCTCAAGGCTTGGTCATATGGACGATGCTTGTATTCATAAGCCACTTGCGTCCGATTTCTTGGCCTTCGAATTCAACCCATTTGATCGCCTCCCAGAAGAGATTCTCGCCGTCATCTTCCGCCACGTAGCACCATCCGGCACGTCCTTTCAGCACGCCTTGGTGTGCTGGCGATGGCATCGCGCAGCGTGCCTGGCACAGTCGTCAGTCCACGTGGCGCAATCTCGGAGCATCTCATCCCCGCGTCTCCTCCTCGCGCTCTCCCGCTTTCCGAGTCTCACGCACCTGCATATCGATCGAGGCGGGGTCGATTTTCTAGACGACGGATTCCTGAACATCCTCGCTAGTGGTGCTTGTAACAGTTGTGACAATAGCGAAGACCGTTGCGAACGACCACCTAATGAGGACGAGGCGAAGGAAAAAGCCGAGGAGGAAGAGGAAGTGGAGGAGGAGGGGAGTCTTGAGGAGAATCTTCGTTTTATTGGCGCTGGGCAGAGTGACGAGGTGGGCGGCACAGGTGTTGGAGTGGGCGGCACAGGTGGTGGAGTGGGCGGCACAGGTGGTGGAGTGGGCGGCACAGGTGGTGGAGTGGGCGGCTATAATAATGTGCTCCGTGGCCTACATTCCTCCCTTGAGAATACGAGCATCGCTGCCAATGTTATCCGCGCAGCAGCACGCCCTGGTGGCGCATCCCCGCTCCCAGCCACCATAGCGCCCTCCTCAGCCCCCTCTGAAGCGCCGTCGCTGCTCCCAACCCGCCATACTCCCCCGTCCCTCCGCTCTCCCCACTATTCCCACCCTCACGTCGCTCCTCTCCGCTCGCTCTTCCTAGCCGAGGACCCTCGCTCGCCGCGCATCACATCATCCGGCCTGGACGCCGTCCTCCTCCGCTGCCGCCTGCTGCACTCCCTCGCCCTGCACTGCGCCCGTACAGTCACCGCCCTCCCCGCCTCTATAGTCACACTGCCTGCACTCACATCCCTGGAGATTCACATGCCCTGCCTTGGCATTCTTCCTGATAATTTAGGCGCCCTTTCCGCCTTGACTGTGCTCCGGCTACAAAGCCCCAGTCTTAGTTCTCTGCCCGAAAGTCTCGGGCAGCTGAAACTATTGCAAGAGCTCGCTCTCCGGTGTTTGTCAGCCCGGAATCTGCCTGACTGTGTCGGGCAGCTTACCAGCCTGACCTGCCTCACCATCGAAAGCTGTTCTTTTCAGCACCTGCCCGAGTCTCTGGGCAGTCTTCATTCCCTGACCTCCCTTCGCCTCTCCTCTCTTGAATTAGTTTCCTTGCCCGAATCAATCGGCCAGCTTTCCTCCTTGAAACATTTTATCCTGGACAAAATGGCCGTCACAAGCCTGCCCGAATCCCTCGGGCACCTGCAAAATCTTTCCGTGCTCCAGTTAAACGACTGTGATTCCCTCCTCGCCCTGCCGAACTCCCTCTTCACCCTGCCGTCTCTATCCACCCTCCTCATTGGCTGCTGGTCCCTCACCGCACTATCAGACAAAATCGCCCACTTGTCAGCATTGGAACATCTCGAGCTGAACTCCTGCGAGGGGCTCATCGCCCTTCCAGAATCCCTTTCCCAGCTGCCCGTCCTAAAACACCTCGAAATTTCCGGCTGCCCGTGCCTGAAATCCCTTCCGGCATCTCTAGGTCAGCTGGAGCAGCTATCCTCTCTGGAAATTCACAACTGCGACTCGCTCACTCTGCTTCCAGACTCGCTCCCTCTCCTCTCGGCCCTCTCGCGCCTCGTGATCGTCGGGTGCACGCACTTGAAGGAGCTACCTGAAAACATCGGGGGATTGAGGAGTCTGAAGGTGGTGGAGTTGGGGCTGTGCAAGAACCTGAGGGCTCTGCCTGAGTCGATCACGGGGATTGTTGGGCTGGAAAGAGTGGTGGTGCTCGGGTGCAGGCGGCTGGAGAGGGTGCCTGAGGGGATTGGGCAGATGCCAGGTATAAAGGAAGTGATGTTTAAAGAGTGTGACGCTCTTGTGTGATGGGTGGCACTGGGGGCTGCGGGGATTGAGGGTGCTGGGGTTAGGGTTGTGCAGGAGCCTGAGGATCCTGTGTGGGTCAATCACAGGGATTGTTGGGGTGGAGAGAGTGGTGGTGCTCGCGTACAGGCGGCTTGAGAGGATGCCGGAGGGGATTTGGGAGATGGCGAGCATAGGAGAGGTGGTGCTCGATGCGTGTGACGCCCTCCTGTGATGCTCTTGCGTGAGAGAGATTTGCTGGGCTGGAAGGAGTGGTGGTGCTTGGGTTGGGTGCTGCTGGCTGGCTGGCCACTTAAAAAGCATTTCGATGAACGCGGATGCCAGGCGTGCGAGAGGTGGTGGTGAAGAGGTGTTTTGGTATGTGTGCGGGTATGTAATCACATGGTGTGCTTCACACCCTGCCTGCCTTTTAAATAACCAAGCAAGCCTGTCGTGACATGGCATTGAATCATGTTCATTCCACTCATCAAGGCTTTGTCTGTGCAGCTGGTTTCGTGGACTACATGTATTGCACACTATGGGAAGCTATTGCCTCAGCATAGTAACCTTGCTGGTCCTGCGCTGCTTTTAATAATAGTACCATGTGCTTTCAGAAGTATAATGCCTGCATAACACTGCTTGCTAGTGCAGCGAGACACTGCATAAGCCCCACCCGAACCCAACGCATGCAGCACAGCACAACCATGCGACTGCAGCAATGCACAGCACACACCATTGCAGCTCAAACTAGCTGCCCTGCAAGGATCAATGTTGCCAGCTCAATGATTGGGGTCCTTAACTCGAGGCGCCTCAAAGCATGCATGCAAACTCCATCACAGCACACCTTCCAAGCACCTGCTCCTCACAGCACCTGCTCTTCACAGCACCTGCTCTTCACAGCACCTGCGCTTCACAGCACCCCCTCACAGCAGCTGCCCCTCAAGGATCTTGGCCGCCCGCTCAATAGCCCTTGCCGCCCGGAAAATCTCATGCTGCACTGCCTTCCATCCCTCCTGATCTCCGTTACTGTCACTCCCCTCACTGTCACTCTCCCTATCATTGGCACTGCTCGTCCCAACCTCCACACCGGTAGCAGCAGCGCTCTCAGCATCCAGCGCAGCGCGGCGAGAGAAAAGCTCCTTCCTGGGGGAGTTGCTGTTTATGACATCAGCAATGGCATCTCGGATTCCAGGGAATGGCGACGTGGCGTAGTCGTTGTCCTTCTCAGGGCCGTACACCTGGCAGGGGATGTTGAGAACAAAGGAGGAGCGATCAACGCGTGGCTTTCTCAGGCGGTATACCTGGCAGGGAGGGCATGCAGTGATGGCGCTGGTGGAGGGCATGCAGTGATGGCGCTGGTGGAGGGCATGCAGTGATGGCGCTGGTGGAGGGCATGCAGTGATGGCGCTGGTGGAGGGCATGCAGTGATGGCGCTGGTGGAGGACATGCAGTGATGGTGCTGGTGGAGGGCATGCAGTGATGGCGCTGGTGGAGGCCATGCAGTGATGGTGCTGGTGGAGGGCATGCAGTGATGGTGCTGGTGGAGGGCATGCAGTGATGGTGCTGGTGGAGGGCATGCAGTGATGGTGCTGGTGGAGGACATGCAGTGATGGTGCTGGTGGAGGGCATGCAGTGATGGCGCTGGTGGAGGGCATGCAGTGATGGTGCTGGTGGAGGGCATGCAGTGATGGTGCTGGTGGAGGGCATGCAGTGATGGCGCTGGTGGAGGGCATGCAGTGATGGCGCTGGTGGAGGGCATGCAGTGATGGCGCTGGTGGAGGGCATGCAGTGATGGCGCTGGTGGAGGGCATGCAGTGATGGCGCTGGTGGAGGGCATGCAGTGATGGTGCTGGTGGAGGACATGCAGTGATGGTGCTGGTGGAGGGCATGCAGTGATGGCGCTGGTGGAGGGCATGCAGTGATGGTGCTGGTGGAGGGCATGCAGTGATGGTGCTGGTGGAGGGCATGCAGTGATGGCGCTGGTGGAGGGCATGCAGTGATGGCGCTGGTGGAGGGCATGCAGTGATGGCGCTGGTGGAGGGCATGCAGTGATGGTGCTGGTGGAGGACATGCAGTGATGGTGCTGGTGGAGGGCATGCAGTGATGGCGCTGGTGGAGGGCATGCAGTGATGGTGCTGGTGGAGGGCATGCAGTGATGGTGCTGGTGGAGGGCATGCAGTGATGGCGCTGGTGGAGGGCATGCAGTGATGGCGCTGGTGGAGGGCATGCAGTGATGGCGCTGGTGGAGGGCATGCAGTGATGGCGCTGGTGGAGGGCATGCAGTGATGGCGCTGGTGGAGGGCATGCAGTGATGGCGCTGGTGGAGGACATGCAGTGATGGTGCTGGTGGAGGGCATGCAGTGATGGCGCTGGTGGAGGCCATGCAGTGATGGTGCTGGTGGAGGGCATGCAGTGATGGTGCTGGTGGAGGGCATGCAGTGATGGTGCTGGTGGAGGGCATGCAGTGATGGTGCTGGTGGAGGGCATGCAGTGATGGCGCTGGTGGAGGGCATGCAGTGATGGTGCTGGTGGAGGGCATGCAGTGATGGTGCTGGTGGAGGGCATGCAGTGATGGTGCTGGTGGAGGGCATGCAGTGATGGCGCTGGTGGAGGGCATGCAGTGATGGTGCTGGTGGAGGGCATGCAGTGATGGTGCTGGTGGAGGGCATGCAGTGATGGTGCTGGTGGAGGGCATGCAGTGATGGTGCTGGTGGAGGGCATGCAGTGATGGTGCTGGTGGAGGGCATGCAGTGATGGTGGTTTCGGCTCTGATCAACCAATAATGGAGCTCGTTTCATTTGTACAGCATGATCATGATCCCTGCTTGGTATATTATAAAATTCAAATAATAGCAGTAACACACTTGGAGTAACATTACTACACACCTCACCAGGTGCTTGAACCACGTGTAGCGAGGTCAATCCTATGGCTGCGCAGAATCCCCCCCCTCTCTCCCCCCCTCTCTCCCCCCCTCTCCCCCCGCTCTACCTCCCTCTCTGCCAAAAACTCTCTCTCGCCAACAGACAGTGTCCCCACATCATTTTGGCTTGACAAAATCCCGAAACGAGTCACCTGAGGTTGAACGGTCAGAACAGGGAATGAGTCCGTGTAATTTTCCGCACCAAGGAGACCAAGATCGTCGGACGGAACCATGACGCGGGGGAGGATCAGATTTTGCAAGGGGTCGCGTGGTGGCGGCAAATGACGAACTGGTGGAGGGGGGGGGGAAAGGGGACGGCGCGGCTCTGATTCTGCCAATTCAGCGGGCGAACAACTTGCTCATAGTGCTGAGCAAGTACCGCATGGTGCATGAAGTCATTCAAGACGCCATCCTGGATGGTAATCAAAAGGGCAACCTGCCGTCACCACGGGCTGGCTCACTTCTTTTGTGCATTGGATTGCCCTTCTGGTTACCACCCAGGATGGCGTCCCGAATGACTTCGTGCGCCATGCGGCACCTGGTCAGCACAACAAGCACGTTGGTCGCCCGCTGCATTGTCAGAATCAGAGTTGTGCCGTCCGCTTTCGCCCCCCCTCCACCAGCTCCGCCATTCGCCGTCCCCTCGGGACCCCTCGCGGACCCTGTTCCTCCCTCACGTCGTGGTTTTATTCGACAATCTTGGCCTCCTTAGTGTGGAAGTTTGCATGGACGCATTCAACCATCTATAGCCTTGGGACGACCTGCACTTACCGCCCTCCCAAGCTGCTGCCTTACCACAGCACCATCCTGCATCTCGCCGAAACTCTTTCCACACTGAATCACTAACCAGGTGCTTGAACCACTTGTAGTGAGGCCTGATCCCATGCCCGTCCAGGAACCCCCTCTCTCTTTCTCTCTCTTTCTGCCCAGAACAGCTCCTCAACGCTTATAGTACCCCACAGCACCCCACAGCACCTCTCCACTCACCAGGTGCTTGAACCACGTGTAGTGAGGCCCGATCCCATGCCCGTCCAGGAACCCCCTCTCTGCCAGGAACAGCCGCTCGTTCACCCCATCCATTGCCTTGGACGACCCGCAGTTGGCACCTTCCCCAGATGCGCCCTCCATGGGGCATGCCCTGCCTCGCGTGCACCTGCTGCTGCTGCTGCTGGCAGTGATGTGCTGTGGCAAGGCATTGCCCATGGATGAGGGGAGGGAGTGGATGGCAACAATGAGAAGATTAGGAGAGGACGATGCGCGGAGGAGAAAGGGAGAAGGGGGATGGACGAGCGAGTAGTACGGCGGGTGCGGAAGAGATGGTGGGGGACGTGTGAGGTGAGGGGAAATGAACGGCATAATTTCAAAAGTCGGCAGAGCATAGCATGACATATTATACAGTGAATTAGATATTCACCGAACAATGCATTCCCGGGCATCTGCGTCAATGCTGTGAGTCGCAGCCAGGAGGCGAGAGACGGAGGCAACGGGGGGATTCTCAGAAAGAGAAGGAAAACCAGCACCAGCACAAGAAAGGGGGCACCAGCACCTTTACTACATTACCTACTATTCTTGCCATTCCAGCTCTCACTACTCTGCTGCATGAGAGTCAACGTGCACGCCTATCACATACTCAACTGCCTGCCTGGATGCTAGGGTAGAATAGTACACCATAAGACACCGGTACAGCTTAGTATAGCATAATAAAGTATATAAAACTCCATAATATCCCCAAAGGAGCGTGCCTGAGCCAGTAGGCGAGAGACGGAGGCGAGGAGGGGATCCACAGAGAGAAAGGTGGCAACATACCTGTGCGTGCTTTCATCACTTGCATCACAGCCCATGCCAGTGGCCCCATCACAGCCCATGCCAGTGGCCCCATCACAGCCCATGCCAGTGGCCCCATCACAGCCCATGCCAGTGGCCCCATCACAGCCCATGCCAGTGGCCCCATCACAGCCCATGCCAGTGGCCCCATCACAGCCCATGCCAGTGGCCCCATCACAGCCCATGCCAGTGGCCCCATCACAGCCCATTCCAGTGGCCCCATCACAGCCCATTCCAGTGGCCCCATCACAGCCCATGCCAGTGGCCCCATCACAGCCCATGCCAGTGGCCCCATCACAGCCCATGCCAGTGGCCCCATCACAGCCCATGCCAGTGGCCCCATCACAGCCCATGCCAGTGGCCCCATCACAGCCCATGCCAGTGGCCCCATCACAGCCCATACCAGTGGCCCCATCACAGCCCATACCAGTGGCCCCATCACAGCCCATGCCAGTGGCCCCATCACAGCCCATGCCAGTGGCCCCATCACAGCCCATACCAGTGGCCCCATCACAGCCCATGCCAGTGGCCCCATCACAGCCCATGCCAGTGGCCCCATCACAGCCCATACCAGTGGCCCCATCACAGCCCATGCCAGTGGCCCCATCACAGCCCATGCCAGTGGCCCCATCACAGCCCATGCCAGTGGCCCCATCACAGCCCATGCCAGTGGCCCCATCACAGCCCATGCCAGTGGCCCCATCACAGCCCATGCCAGTGGCCCCATCACAGCCCATGCCAGTGGCCCCATCACAGCCCATGCCAGTGGCCCCATCACAGCCCATGCCAGTGGCCCCATCACAGCCCATGCCAGTGGCCCCATCACAGCCCATGCCAGTGGCCCCATCACAGCCCATTCCAGTGGCCCCATCACAGCCCATTCCAGTGGCCCCATCACAGCCCATGCCAGTGGCCCCATCACAGCCCATGCCAGTGGCCCCATCACAGCCCATGCCAGTGGCCCCATCACAGCCCATACCAGTGGCCCCATCACAGCCCATACCAGTGGCCCCATCACAGCCCATGCCAGTGGCCCCATCACAGCCCATGCCAGTGGCCCCATCACAGCCCATACCAGTGGCCCCATCACAGCCCATGCCAGTGGCCCCATCACAGCCCATGCCAGTGGCCCCATCACAGCCCATGCCAGTGGCCCCATCACAGCCCATGCCAGTGGCCCCATCACAGCCCATGCCAGTGGCCCCATCACAGCCCATGCCAGTGGCCCCATCACAGCCCATGCCAGTGGCCCCATCACAGCCCATGCCAGTGGCCCCATCACAGCCCATGCCAGTGGCCCCATCACAGCCCATGCCAGTGGCCCCATCACAGCCCATGCCAGTGGCCCCATCACAGCCCATGCCAGTGGCCCCATCACAGCCCATGCCAGTGGCCCCATCACAGCCCATGCCAGTGGCCCCATCACAGCCCATGCCAGTGGCCCCATCACAGCCCATGCCAGTGGCCCCATCACAGCCCATGCCAGTGGCCCCATCACAGCCCATGCCAGTGGCCCCATCACAGCCCATGCCAGTGGCCCCATCACAGCCCATTCCAGTGGCCCCATCACAGCCCATTCCAGTGGCCCCATCACAGCCCATGCCAGTGGCCCCATCACAGCCCATGCCAGTGGCCCCATCACAGCCCATGCCAGTGGCCCCATCACAGCCCATGCCAGTGGCCCCATCACAGCCCATGCCAGTGGCCCCATCACAGCCCATGCCAGTGGCCCCATCACAGCCCATACCAGTGGCCCCATCACAGCCCATACCAGTGGCCCCATCACAGCCCATGCCAGTGGCCCCATCACAGCCCATGCCAGTGGCCCCATCACAGCCCATGCCAGTGGCCCCATCACAGCCCATACCAGTGGCCCCATCACAGCCCATGCCAGTGGCCCCATCACAGCCCATGCCAGTGGCCCCATCACAGCCCATGCCAGTGGCCCCATCACAGCCCATGCCAGTGGCCCCATCACAGCCCATGCCAGTGGCCCCATCACAGCCCATGCCAGTGGCCCCATCACAGCCCATGCCAGTGGCCCCATCACAGCCCATGCCAGTGGCCCCATCACAGCCCATGCCAGTGGCCCCATCACAGCCCATGCCAGTGGCCCCATCACAGCCCATGCCAGTGGCCCCATCACAGCCCATGCCAGTGGCCCCATCACAGCCCATGCCAGTGGCCCCATCACAGCCCATGCCAGTGGCCCCATCACAGCCCATTCCAGTGGCCCCATCACAGCCCATTCCAGTGGCCCCATCACAGCCCATGCCAGTGGCCCCATCACAGCCCATGCCAGTGGCCCCATCACAGCCCATGCCAGTGGCCCCATCACAGCCCATGCCAGTGGCCCCATCACAGCACATGCCAGTGGCCCCATCACAGCCCATGCCAGTGGCCCCTTCACAGCCCATGCCAGTGGCCCCATCACAGCCCATACCAGTGGCCCCATCACAGCCCATGCCAGTGGCCCCATCACAGCCCATGCCAGTGGCCCCATCACAGCCCATACCAGTGGCCCCATCACAGCCCATGCCAGTGGCCCCATCACAGCCCATGCCAGTGGCCCCATCACAGCCCATGCCAGTGGCCCCATCACAGCCCATGCCAGTGGCCCCATCACAGCCCATGCCAGTGGCCCCATCACAGCCCATGCCAGTGGCCCCATCACAGCCCATGCCAGTGGCCCCATCACAGCCCATGCCAGTGGCCCCATCACAGCCCATGCCAATGGCCCCATCACAGCCCATGCCAGTGGCCCCATCACAGCCCATGCCAGTGGCCCCATCACAGCCCATGCCAGTGGCCCCATCACAGCCCATGCCAGTGGCCCCATCACAGCCCATGCCAGTGGCCCCATCACAGCCCATGCCAGTGGCCCCATCACAGCCCATGCCAGTGGCCCCATCACAGCCCATGCCAGTGGCCCCATCACAGCCCATGCCAGTGGCCCCATCACAGCCCATGCCAGTGGCCCCATCACAGCCCATGCCAGTGGCCCCATCACAGCCCATGCCAGTGGCCCCATCACAGCCCATGCCAGTGGCCCCATCACAGCCCATGCCAGTGGCCCCATCACAGCCCATGCCAGTGGCCCCATCACAGCCCATGCCAGTGGCCCCATCACAGCCCATGCCAGTGGCCCCATCACAGCCCATGCCAGTGGCCCCATCACAGCCCATTCCAGTGGCCCCATCACAGCCCATGCCAGTGGCCCCATCACAGCCCATGCCAGTGGCCCCATCACAGCCCATGCCAGTGGCCCCATCACAGCCCATGCCAGTGGCCCCATCACAGCCCATGCCAGTGGCCTCATCACAGCCCATGCCAGTGGCCCCATCACAGCCCATGCCAGTGGCCCCATCACAGCCCATGCCAGTGGCCCCATCACAGCCCATGCCAGTGGCCCCATCACAGCTCATACCATTGGCCCCATCACAGCTCATACCAGTGGCCCCATCACAGCCCATACCAGTGGCCCCATCACAGCTCATACCAGTGGCCCCATCACAGCTCATACCAGTGGCCTCATCACAGCTCATACCAGTGGCCTCATCACAGCTCATACCAGTGGCCTCATCACAGCTCATACCAGTGGCCTCATCACAGCTCATACCAGTGGCCCCATCACAGCCCATACCAGTGGCCTCATCACAGCCCATACCAGTGGCCCCATCACAGCCCATGCCAGTGGCCCCATCACAGCCCATTCCAGTGGCCCCATCACAGCCCATACCAGTGGCCCCATCACAGCCCATGCCAGTGGCCCCATCACAGCCCATGCCAGTGGCCCCATCACAGCCCATACCAGTGGCCCCATCACAGCCCATGCCAGTGGCCCCATCACAGCCCATGCCAGTGGCCCCATCACAGCCCATGCCAGTGGCCCCATCACAGCCCATGCCAGTGGCCCCATCACAGCCCATGCCAGTGGCCCCATCACAGCTCATACCAGTGGCCCCATCACAGCCCATACCAGTGGCCCCATCACAGCCCATGCCAGTGGCCCCATCACAGCCCATGCCAGTGGCCCCATCACAGCTCATACCAGTGGCCCCATCACAGCTCATACCAGTGGCCCCATCACAGCCCATACCAGTGGCCCCATCACAGCTCATACCAGTGGCCCCATCACAGCTCATACCAGTGGCCTCATCACAGCTCATACCAGTGGCCTCATCACAGCTCATACCAGTGGCCTCATCACAGCTCATACCAGTGGCCTCATCACAGCTCATACCAGTGGCCTCATCACAGCTCATACCAGTGGCCTCATCACAGCTCATACCAGTGGCCTCATCACAGCCCATACCAGTGGCCTCATCACAGCTCATACCAGTGGCCCCATCACAGCCCATACCAGTGGCCCCATCACAGCCCATACCAGTGGCCCCATCACAGCCCATGCCAGTGGCCCCATCACAGCCCATTCCAGTGGCCCCATCACAGCCCATGCCAGTGGCCCCATCACAGCCCATGCCAGTGGCCCCATCACAGCCCATACCAGTGGCCTCATCACAGCTCATACCAGTGGCCCCATCACAGCCCATACCAGTGGCCCCATCACAGCCCATACCAGTGGCCCCATCACAGCCCATGCCAGTGGCCCCATCACAGCCCATTCCAGTGGCCCCATCACAGCCCATACCAGTGGCCCCATCACAGCCCATGCCAGTGGCCCCATCACAGCCCATGCCAGTGGCCCCATCACAGCCCATACCAGTGGCCCCATCACAGCCCATGCCAGTGGCCCCATCACAGCCCATGCCAGTGGCCCCATCACAGCTCATACCAGTGGCCCCATCACAGCTCATACCAGTGGCCCCATCACAGCCCATACCAGTGGCCCCATCACAGCTCATACCAGTGGCCCCATCACAGCTCATACCAGTGGCCCCATCACAGCTCATACCAGTGGCCCCATCACAGCTCATACCAGTGGCCTCATCACAGCTCATACCAGTGGCCTCATCACAGCCCATACCAGTGGCCTCATCACAGCTCATACCAGTGGCCTCATCACAGCTCATACCAGTGGCCTCATCACAGCTCATACCAGTGGCCTCATCACAGCCCATACCAGTGGCCTCATCACAGCTCATACCAGTGGCCCCATCACAGCCCATACCAGTGGCCCCATCACAGCCCATACCAGTGGCCCCATCACAGCCCATACCAGTGGCCCCATCACAGCTCATACCAGTGGCCCCATCACAGCTCATACCAGTGGCCCCATCACAGCTCATACCAGTGGCCCCATCACAGCTCATACCAGTGGCCTCATCACAGCTCATACCAGTGGCCTCATCACAGCTCATACCAGTGGCCTCATCACAGCCCATACCAGTGGCCTCATCACAGCTCATACCAGTGGCCTCATCACAGCTCATACCAGTGGCCTCATCACAGCTCATACCAGTGGCCTCATCACAGCCCATACCAGTGGCCTCATCACAGCTCATACCAGTGGCCCCATCACAGCCCATACCAGTGGCCCCATCACAGCCCATACCAGTGGCCCCATCACAGCCCATACCAGTGGCCCCATCACAGCTCATACCAGTGGCCCCATCACAGCTCATACCAGTGGCCCCATCACAGCTCATACCAGTGGCCCCATCACAGCTCATACCAGTGGCCTCATCACAGCTCATACCAGTGGCCTCATCACAGCTCATACCAGTGGCCTCATCACAGCCCATACCAGTGGCCTCATCACAGCTCATACCAGTGGCCTCATCACAGCTCATACCAGTGGCCTCATCACAGCTCATACCAGTGGCCTCATCACAGCCCATACCAGTGGCCTCATCACAGCTCATACCAGTGGCCCCATCACAGCCCATACCAGTGGCCCCATCACAGCTCATACCAGTGGCCCCATCACAGCTCATACCAGTGGCCCCATCACAGCTCATACCAGTGGCCCCATCACAGCTCATACCAGTGGCCTCATCACAGCTCATACCAGTGGCCTCATCACAGCCCATACCAGTGGCCTCATCACAGCTCATACCAGTGGCCTCATCACAGCTCATACCAGTGGCCTCATCACAGCTCATACCAGTGGCCTCATCACAGCCCATACCAGTGGCCTCATCACAGCTCATACCAGTGGCCCCATCACAGCCCATACCAGTGGCCCCATCACAGCCCATACCAGTGGCCCCATCACAGCCCATACCAGTGGCCCCATCACAGCTCATACCAGTGGCCCCATCACAGCTCATACCAGTGGCCCCATCACAGCTCATACCAGTGGCCCCATCACAGCTCATACCAGTGGCCTCATCACAGCTCATACCAGTGGCCTCATCACAGCTCATACCAGTGGCCTCATCACAGCCCATACCAGTGGCCTCATCACAGCTCATACCAGTGGCCTCATCACAGCTCATACCAGTGGCCTCATCACAGCTCATACCAGTGGCCTCATCACAGCCCATACCAGTGGCCTCATCACAGCTCATACCAGTGGCCCCATCACAGCCCATACCAGTGGCCCCATCACAGCCCATACCAGTGGCCCCATCACAGCCCATACCAGTGGCCCCATCACAGCCCATACCAGTGGCCCCATCACAGCCCATACCAGTGGCCCCATCACAGCTCATACCAGTGGCCCCATCACAGCTCATACCAGTGGCCCCATCACAGCTCATACCAGTGGCCCCATCACAGCTCATACCAGTGGCCTCATCACAGCTCATACCAGTGGCCTCATCACAGCTCATACCAGTGGCCTCATCACAGCCCATACCAGTGGCCTCATCACAGCTCATACCAGTGGCCTCATCACAGCTCATACCAGTGGCCTCATCACAGCTCATACCAGTGGCCTCATCACAGCCCATACCAGTGGCCTCATCACAGCTCATACCAGTGGCCCCATCACAGCCCATACCAGTGGCCCCATCACAGCCCATACCAGTGGCCCCATCACAGCTCATACCAGTGGCCCCATCACAGCTCATACCAGTGGCCCCATCACAGCTCATACCAGTGGCCCCATGACAGCTCATACCAGTGGCCTCATCACAGCTCATACCAGTGGCCTCATCACAGCTCATACCAGTGGCCTCATCACAGCCCATACCAGTGGCCTCATCACAGCTCATACCAGTGGCCTCATCACAGCTCATACCAGTGGCCTCATCACAGCTCATACCAGTGGCCTCATCACAGCCCATACCAGTGGCCTCATCACAGCTCATACCAGTGGCCCCATCACAGCCCATACCAGTGGCCCCATCACAGCTCATACCAGTGGCCCCATCACAGCTCATACCAGTGGCCCCATCACAGCTCATACCAGTGGCCCCATCACAGCTCATACCAGTGGCCTCATCACAGCTCATACCAGTGGCCTCATCACAGCCCATACCAGTGGCCTCATCACAGCTCATACCAGTGGCCTCATCACAGCTCATACCAGTGGCCTCATCACAGCTCATACCAGTGGCCTCATCACAGCCCATACCAGTGGCCTCATCACAGCTCATACCAGTGGCCCGATCACAGCCCATACCAGTGGCCCCATCACAGCCCATACCAGTGGCCCCATCACAGCCCATACCAGTGGCCCCATCACAGCTCATACCAGTGGCCCCATCACAGCTCATACCAGTGGCCCCATCACAGCTCATACCAGTGGCCCCATCACAGCTCATACCAGTGGCCTCATCACAGCTCATACCAGTGGCCTCATCACAGCTCATACCAGTGGCCTCATCACAGCCCATACCAGTGGCCTCATCACAGCTCATACCAGTGGCCTCATCACAGCTCATACCAGTGGCCTCATCACAGCTCATACCAGTGGCCTCATCACAGCCCATACCAGTGGCCTCATCACAGCTCATACCAGTGGCCCCATCACAGCCCATACCAGTGGCCCCATCACAGCCCATACCAGTGGCCCCATACCAGTTCATACCAGTTCATACCAGTTCATACCAGTTCATACCTGAGCCTCTGTGTCAATGCTCTGAGCGGCAGCCAGGAGGCGAGAGACGGAGACAAGGAGGGGATCCACAGAGAGAGAGGGCGGGGCGCCTTGTGATGCCAGGTCAGACTGCAGCCTTGCCACGTCACGCTGATGTGCGGGTTCAGGGGGATGCAGGAATTAGAGAAAAGGAGAAGCTTGAATGTTGCATGGGCTCGTGTCGGTACATGCAACAATGGTCAGTGGTCACCGCACATCACCACACATCACCGCATGTCACCACACGTGACATCATCACTCACCTCCAGGTGTGTGGCAGACGCACTTAACCACTCGTCCCATGACCGCACAGATCTGCACTTCACCGCACTGCGCATCGCTGCCCCTAACCTCCAGGTGTGTGGCAGATGCACGGTGGTTGAAGTGAAGCCTATGGTCGCCTGGATAACAGATTTGAACCGACTTCTGAGGCGCTCTTTAAAGAGTCGAATTTGGGCTGTAAGTGCTTGCACACTCCTTGAAACACCTAACACTCGTCTCATAACCACACAGAACCGCCCTTCAATGCTCTGCACATCGCTCCATCTCACCTTCAGGTGGGCAGCATATGCGCTGTAGTTGAAGGGGCAGCCTTACCCACACACCCTCACAGAACCACATCCAACCTTAAAGCACTACTCACCCCCAGGTGGGCGGCATACGCGCTGTAGTTGAAAGGAAGGCGGTGGTCGCCTGCCAGCCTGGCAGCCACGCCAGCCATCATCTTAGCCACTGCCACGTGGCGCTTGAAGAGTGGATCGGCAAAGGTGGCCATCCAATGGTAGTTGTCGTACACGCTGTGGTACATGGGGTAGGCTGATGGGAGGGAGGGGAAAGGGGGGTGGGGAAAGGGGGGTGGGGAAAGGGGGGTGGGGAAAGGGGGGTGGGGAAAGGGGGGTGGGGAAAGGGGGGTGGGGAAAGGGGGGTGGGGAAAGGGGGGTGGGGAAACGGGGGTGGGGAAACGGGGGTGGGGAAAGGGGGGGGAAGGGAGGGGATTGGAGGGAGGAAGGGGAGATGAAGAGGGGGAAAGGAACAAGGTGCACTGAGTTCCCGCAGCCATCCATTGGCAGTTGTCTTACACGCTCTGGTACATGGGGTAGGCTGAACGGAGGGCAGGAGGGGCGCGGGATGGGGAGAGAAGCGTAAAGACTTGATCAACTCGCCCAGTAGCCATCCAGTGGTAGTTGGTTGGTGTGCACGCTGTGACACATGGGGTGAACTGGTGAGAGGGAGGGACGGAGGGAAGGAGGGAGGAAGATGAAACCAGAAGGGGGAAGTAACATAAGCTTACCGAGGTGCCCCCAACCATCCAGTGATAGTCGTCATTAGACTGTCATGCATGGGGGGCTTGCGTTTATACACTCTGAAACTCACTTTTCCCATAACGGCTACCCCCATCATACCCTCACACCATCCGTGCACATATCCCATCAAAATCCCCACACTGCCCCATCCACCTATCCCCCAAATTAGCTCATAACTCCGTTATAAGCTCATTTCCCCCCGTAAGGTCACACAACCCCCTTATAAGCTCACATCCTCCAAAATGTGTGTCAGCGGCGGCAATCCCAAGGTGCTGCAGGAATGCTGCGTAGTCGCTGCCTCCGCCTCCGAGTCGGCCCAACTGTGGACGGGGTGGGAGGGTGGGATGAGAGAGAGCGCAGGGAATGACAACAGCGAGCGAAGGGGGGAATACAAGGGAGGAGTGGGTCTCAAAACAGGGAGGCAAAATGACTCCGGGGTGGGCGATTATTGAGACATTTCACAACAGGGATGGGCGAGGAGGATGGGAGCGAGAGGGTGAGATATTGTGGCATACGCTGCGTTCTATGCACCATGCACCATGCGCCATGCACCATGCGACATGCACCATGCGCCATGCACCATGCACCATGCACCATCCACCATGCATCATTCACCGTGCACCATGCACCATCCACCATGCACCATGCACCATGCACCATGCACCATGCACCATGCACCATGCACCATCCACCATGCACCATGCACCATCCACCATGCACCATGCACCATGCACCATCCACCATGCACCATCCACCATGCACCATCCACCATGCATCCTCTATAACTTGCCTCAGGCTCTGACACGTTGTGCTCAGCCGCCCATCCCTCCAATAGCGACTGGCCGGCCGGGCCATCGGGATTGGCCACCTGATCAAGTGCAGAGCAGAGGATGAGGGCGGGGGAAAGGAGGTTGAGAGGCGGAGAGCGAACGAGGTGCCAAGCCAACAAGTGCGTGTGGATGACTCGTTTGCCACCACGAGGTGCGGTCACAGCCAAGTTGAAGGAGCTCATTTTTTAAGGATATCGTTAGGAGCTCATTTTTTAAGGAGCTCGTTAGCAGCTCATTTTTTAAGGAGCTCGTTAGGAGCTCATTTTTTAAGGAGCTCGTTAGCAGCTCATTTTTGAAGGAGCTCGTTAGGAGCTCATTTTTTAGGCGCTCACTGGAAGATATCCGAGCTAAAAAATGTGCTCACTGAATGCGCATGAATGCAGTTAATAACTCAAACGCACGATTTAGTTGTTGGATGACCAAACCGCGCCATCAGTGTCGGCATCACCTAACCTGGCTGCTGACGTCACGGATGAGGTCATCAAGCTGAGGGGTGGCGGAGGCGTGGAAGCCCCCTCCCCCCACCGCCACATCCACGTTGATATAGGCGATGGCTTTAGTGGCTAGCACAGGGGCGTTGTCCTCCGCCCACTCCGTTGACCCAAGCTGAGATGGGGCATCAAGCAAAACAAGGGAGAGAGGTGTATGTGCGTGTGTGCGTGTGGGCATTGAGCCAGCTAAAGCCCCCTCCCTCCCCCCCCTCCCCCCACTGCCACGTCCACGTTGATGTAGGATGGCCCTGGTGGCCAGCACTGGCGCATCGTCCTCCGCCCACTCCGTTGACCCCAGCTGAGAGGGAGGAATGAGGCGGGATGGGCCGGGATGGGGAGGAATAGGGCGGGATGGGGAGGGATGGGGGGGATGGGGAGGGATGGGGGGGATGGGGAGGGATGGGGGGGATGGGGAGGGATGGGGGGGATGGGGAGGGATGGGTAGTGGTGTGCAGAGACGGCAGGAACGAGATGTATTTGGGGGGAGAGGGTCTGGGAGGCAAAGAAGCCCCCTCCCCCCAAATACACCTCGTTCCTGCTGCCTCTGCCCACCACTATCCACGTTGATGGGCGTGGTGGCCAGCACAGGGGCCTCGTTCTCCGCCCACTCTGTCGATCCTGGCTGAGAGGGGGGAGTCTATCAAGGCAAGGGATGGGGAGGTGGCGAAGAGAGGCAGTGGGAGATCTTTATTATTTAATCTCCCCACATTACTATCACCTGCGCATCTGCATTATTTAGTCGGACTCAAAAGTCATCCCGCGCATCTGCACTCCTGATTTCTCTCCCCTTTACAAACACCCCCTTTAATGTCACACTCACACATCCATACTCCTCAGCGTCCCAGCTGGCGAACACAATGGAGCGGCGCGGCGACCAACCACGCGCTGCCATGTGGCCAAAGGCACGCGCGACCTGGCAGTGCGAAAGAGATGGGTGGAATCACAGCGAAGGGAGGCCATTGGTAGCTGGGATGGACGATGGATGATATTCGGGTTAGGGAGGGCAACAGAGGGCACACAGGGCAGGATACGGATGGCTCGAGATGCATTCTACATCAAGAGTGGAATCACAGCGAAGGGCGGATGTTGGTAGGTGAGATGGAAGATGTTGGGGTTAGGGAAGGATGGACGACATTTGGGTTCAAGGAAGGCAACAGAGGGCACACTTGTGTGGGATGGACGATATTCGTGGGTGATTTTAGAATTGACTCAAAAATCAGCTGGGATGGACGTTTTTCGGGTTAGGGGAGGTAAGAAAGAGCGCACAGGACAGGATACAAATGCCTCGAGGTGCATTTTGCATCAATAGTGGTACCTCGAGCGCAGACACGTGGTACCTCGAGCGCAGACACGTGGTACCTCGAGCGCAGACACGTGGTACCTCGAGCGCAGACACGTGTACCTCGAGCGCAGACCCGTGGTACCTCGAGCGCAGACACGTGGTACCTCGAGCGCAGACCCGTGGTACCTCGAGCGCAGACCCATGGTACCTCGAGCAGACACGTGGTACCTCGAGCGCAGACACGTGGTACCTCGAGCGCAGACCCGTGGTACCTCGAGCGCAGACATGTGGTACCTCAAGCGCAGACCCGTGGTACCTCCGAGCGCAGACACGTGGTACCTCGAGCACAGACACGTGGTACCTCGAGCGCAGACACGTGGTACCTCGAGCGCAGACACGTGGTACCTCGAGCAGACACGTGGTGCCGCTGTTGGGGTCTGCTGCCCCAAACACCCATGCATCGCGATGGTTGCCTAGGATGATGTACCTGCGATGGTGGTGGGAATGGTGATAGGGATGGCGATGGTGGTGGTGAGGATGGGGTCAGTGATCGTGTGGCATGGGGCAATCGGGCGGAGCACAACACGCATCGCGATGGTTGCGTAGGATGATGTACCTGCGGTGGGGATGGCATGAGTGATGGTTGTGGCGATGGCGATGGTGATGGGGATGGTGATGGTTTGGAACCAAAGCGGTGCATCCAATCCAACCATGCATTGCAACGGCTTCTCATTCTCCTGAGATTTTACAGAAAATCAGTAACAGCGGCATGCTAACAGCGGCATGCTAACAGCGGCATGCTAACAGCGGCATGCTAACAGCGGCATGAGCGGACAGCGGCATGCTAACAGCGGCATGAGCGGAGCCCATGTGGAATGTCAGATGGGTGGTTGAGTGGTTTGCTGTGCCATCCACCGCCCACCTGACAGCCTCTGATTTTCTAGAATCAGCCGCCACGCCGCCCAGTGCCCACCTTTCTGAAAAATCAGCTGCCCCACCACTCGCCTCCCACCGCCCACCGCCCAGCTCCCAGAGCCCACCTGTTTGCCTGGTGGCTGCCTGGCAAAACACCAATGACGTTGCGGATGGTGGTGACTGTGGCGTTCATCTGGGGGGGGGGGGGAGTATGCAGGAATGGAGGGGCTCAATACGTTCACATGCGCCTGCACCCTCCCAAACACAACACACTGGCTCACCATCACTCACCCTCACACACACTCACTCACACGCATTCACCCCCACTCACCCTCCTCTCACTCACTCCCTCACTCTCACCTGCACGTCCATGTTCAACAGCAGCAGGCCGGGCCCGAGCACATACTGCACGCCCTCCATCCCTCCCCCCCACCCCTCCGCCACGGCCGCTCCCCCCCATGTGCGCCATAATGCCAGCAGCAACGGAGTACGACACCGGCAGCACTGGGATGCGCGGTAGCCGCTTGGCTGTTTTCCTCGTCGCTCAGCCTCTCCCCTCCTGGGTGGGACGGCCAGCCGGGGGTGGCAGGGTCGCCCTTGCCTGGCAAAGAGGAGACCCACAGGGAAGAGGGGATTCAGTTGTAAAGCCCCCTTTTCCCATGTGCGCCATAGTACCAGCAGCAACTTAGTATGGAACTGGCAGCACCGGGCTGCGTGGGAGCGGCATAGCTGTTCTCCTCATCGCTCAACCTCTCCCCATCGAGGTGGGTGGGACGGCCAACTGGAGGTTGCAGGGTCGCCCTTGCCAGGCGGAAAAGGGGAGGAGAGGGAAGGGAGACAGTGTGTCTTCAATTCAAGTCAACTCACCAGCTGTAGCTTTTGAATCAACTGGTGAGTTTACTTGAATTGAAAAAGCTACGCATGTGAGTCAACTGGTATGCAACATATCACATGCGTGGTAGTGCCATTCCAACTCTACCTGTGTACACAGTGCCTCGCTGCGCGCCACTGGCAGGCAGCCACTCCGCCTGGGGGTACAGGTGAGCAGCGTCCGTGTCCTCTGGCAGATAGTATGCGTGAAGTATATGCTGCACGTGAGCAGTTCCTTGGCATCATGATCTATCCAACCAGTTTTTATGCGCCTCAAAACTAGTTGTGAGGCGCCTCAAAACTCTGGCAGATGGTATGCATGAAGCATATGTTCCTTGCATCATGATCTGTCCAACCTGCGTATACGACGTGTTTGCAACTCTACCTGTGTACACGGTGCCTCGCTGCGCGCCAGTGCTGGCAGCCATTCCGCCTGGGGGTACACGTGAGAGGCGTCCGTGCCCTCTGGTGCATAGTCCGCTGGGTCCGAGTACAGCAGCACCGCCGCCACGCCGAACTTCTCCGCATTCCGAACCTGATGGGCAGGTTCGGTAGAGATAAAGATGCATGCGACTGGTTGACTGGCAAAAAACATTTTTAGTCCAAAGTTTTCGCCACAAAAAAAATGAGATTATCAAAAAGGCCATCTCATAGCTCACCTTATCCCCTCTAAAGGTCTTCCCATAACGGATCAGCGCCACTGTGCCTGTCACCTTCTCCCTCCCAATCGCCGCCACCAGCTCTTCAAAATCCTCCATCCGCCCGTAATTCGCGTACACCACCTCTGCTCCTCCCGCCTCTCCCTCCGCTCCTTCCCCCCCCCCCTCCGCCGCTTCCCGCCCAGGCTTCCCTCTCGCGCCCTCCGCGCCCTCCACCCCCTCTCTCTTTCTCTCCTCCGGACTCCTCCTCGCCCACTCAGGCCCTCCGCCGACCCTCCCGCTTCCAGAATACGCGTTAAAAGGGTCGGTGGCAGCGCGTGAGGCGCTATACGGGTCGCCGTGGACGGGCTGCTCGCGCAGCGAGAAGTTGAGGGCGACGGGGCGCACGAGACGGAGGGATTGACGAAGCGGGTAGGAGAGCAACACGGGGTAGTCGGCGTGGTGCGCCTTGAGGCCGTACGACTGTGACGGGGTGGAAGGGAATAGGATGGGGGGACAGGGGGGGTTGAAGTAGAGATGAGAGAGGGACATTGGGATTGACGAAGCGGGTAGGAGAGCAGCACGGGGTAGTCGGCGTAGTGCGCCTGCGGGCCGTACGACTGCGATGGGATGGAAGGGGAGGCGAGCGGGGAGAGCAGAGGCGTTGTGGGAGCGGAGATTCCCAAAGATAAAAACACGTGATGCATCATCGTGCACGCATGCGAAACGTGACGCACGGGTGAAATGAGGAGATTCACGCAGGTGAACAGAACATGATTGCGCCAGGGTCTTAGATTCACACCTCGAATCTCTCCTTGACGTAACGGGCAGTTTCAAAGTTTTCAGGGGTGCCCGCGATGTGCGGATTGGCCGTGAGCTCCCGGAGGTGGAGCGCCAGGCTGTCATTCGACACGAGCGAGAAGAGCTTCGGAAGAAAACCGCCGCCGTTCAGATTGCTCGCATCGTGACCGTTCAAAGCTGAGCCGTCCCCGCCGGGTTCGGAAAAGAGCCGCGCGCAAAAGACGATCGTGAACAATCCCAAGGTCAGCGCCACGGGAACGTAGGCGAGAGCCGTTGGACGCCTCGACGGCGACGCGTGCGACAGTAACCCTGAGCGATCCATGGCGGTGTCACTGGGAAGCACAAGGAACGACAGGAAGAGACTGGATGTAGGGGGAAGAGCAGACAGAACCGCAGAAGTCGGCGACAGGGGACGACAGAGAGAGGGTGATGGGGAAAGGTGAATTTGGATGCTGCCGAGGAAGGGGGTATTGCTGGTGCAGCCCCTGAGAAACAGAGACAGCTTCGGTTGGACGAATTGGCGAAATTATTACATGTCTACAAGAACCCGAAATTACACGGGGCCAAGCTGCTGCGACTATTGTTAGCGAACGACGATTCCATCGCCTGTTACAGTGCATCCAGGACCGGCAGGCTGATGCATTGCATGGATGGAGGGGAGTGTGCTGGACCCGGGAGGATGAAATGCGGCGCGTCGTCTGTTCTTGGCCTGCCACGTGGTACTCCCGGGCAAATCAGGTTGAAGCACCCGAGCCACGAAGCTGACGCCAGCATCTGGATTCTGTTCAGTAACAGATTTACCCGATTTTGGAATTCTGATATCGGAATTCTGGTTGCGGGTGGTAATTTTATCGAGTGCTTATTACATAACGAGTACGTTTTGCAACCCAGTCTCGAAAATCTTCCGTGCCCCTGTTTCGGCGACAGTATGACGTACAACAATTGATTTCTGGAGTAATGATCCTAGAAACGATTTAGGAGCCACTTTAGGAGGCGATTAAGAGGCGATTCCAGCAGCCACATTATCCGTCCGTCTCGTCTTCCTGTTGTCGCGTTCCCAGCACGATGACGCAAACCGTTGACCCACAACTACCTACACAGCTCCTACACCTACAGGGTCAGCCACAGCAGCGACTAGGCATGACTGACCAGGCAGCCAATCCCAAGGCCCTGCCTGCGCTAACGCACCTTCCGCCGCTGCCTGCGCCGTGTACGCGATTGGAGGTGGACCTCTATCGCTTATTGCGATGCTGTGAGCGCCTCGCACGGAGCCGTTCAGCAGGCGAGCTTCAGGCGGATCCCAAGTTCCACAACGTGGGTGATTCGTCTGTCTTAGGGTCGCTATTGTCCGAACCGACTGGTTAATTGATGCATCTCGTCGTTAGGCCTTGTGAATTTTGGGCTCAACGTGAGTTGTTCGCCATTCAACAGGCGAGCTTCAGGCGGATCCCAAGTTCCACAACGTGGGTAATGGTCTGTCTCAGGGCCGCGTTTCTTTGATGCATCTCGCCGTTAGATTTAGTGAAACCTGAGTTCAACGTGAGTCGGTCAGGAGCCGTTCAGCAGGCGAGCTTCAGGCGGATCCCAAGTTCCACAACGTGGGTAGTAGTTCTTCCAAGGCTTGCGATTGTCTGGAATTTTTTGCAAGCCGGAATCACTCGCACAGAACTCCGGCTTTTACCGACTTAGCAGATGCACACTCAGTCTATTGAGTCAGCCGAGTCGCCAAAAGGGAAAAAAAAATCGGCTTTCGACATTGCATGCAACGCCTGTCAATTCCGTTTTGGATGCCCATTGTAATGACTTTTGAGTCGACTCAAATGCCCATTGTAATCCCTATGACAATCCCCATGTCCCGCAGTATGTGGCCTATCTCCGGGAGCTGTTCTCACAGTTGCAGCTGGAGACAAGCCAGCCTGCGAGGTACTGTGGTTTCTGGAGCTTCTGATCCCCATACTCCTCTGCCGGTCTTTCCCCGGATAAAGCAGAGACTGCCTTCACTATCTGTGTTCCTCGCATCTGTGTTCCTCGCATCTGTGTTCCTCGCATCTGTGTTCCTCGCATCTGTGTTCCTCGCATCTGTGTTCCTCGCATCTGTGTTCCTCGCATCTGTGTTCCTCGCTTCGCTATCAGACCTTGGCTTGCCAGTCCATGCGATCCAGTCCATGCGATCCAGTCCATGCGATCCAGTCCATGCGATCCAGTCCATGCTATCCAGTCCATGCTATCCAGTCCATGCTATCCAGCCCATGCTATCCAGTCCATGCTATCCAGCCCATGCTATCCAGTCCATGCGATCCAGTCCATGCGATCCAGTCCATGCGATCCAGTCCATGCGATCCAGTCCATGCGATCCAGTCCATGCTATCCAGTCCATGCTATCCAGTCCATGCTATCCAGCCCATGCTATCCAGTCCATGCTATCCAGCCCATGCTATCCAGTCCATGCTATCCAGTCCATGCTATCCAGTCCATGCTATCCAGTCCATGCTATCCAGTCTATGCTATCCAGTCCGGTCCGTTTCTTC